GATTTCAATATAACAAAGCATTCGCACAACATTAAATATTCAAAGTAAAATATCTCAAAAAATATTGCCTTCACAATGGTAGTATCTTATACAACCTTTCTTTGCGTATAATGATGCAAAGAACCGATTTATGTGAGAGGAAAATATGGAGCATCACTTTAAAAAAAAGTGCACTTTACATTTTGCAATTGAATCAATGTATTTAACAAAAAACTGGTATTGCAGCATAATAGAGCTCGTTAAATAGCGCAAAGATATATCCTTTATAATTGTCTTCTTCAGGTCACCAGGAACAGAATTACATCCTATTCCAGTTACTAAATACATCTTATATTAAAAAAAAGTAGGTCCCCTTGGACTATACAATTTTTTTCTCTATTCTGTGTCTCTTCTTGAGATATAACCCATCTCAATTGTGGTATGCACGCTGCATATACTATGTAAAAATTAGAAATAGCTATATCGATAGCAATAAATCTACAAAATTAATTGAAGTACAAAATACTGGAAGATTATTGACAAATAATTATGTTCATTTCAACTCAAAAGTGTTAATTTATACATCTGAAATGGTGTATCAAGACACAAGTGTAGATTTTTAAGAAAACGAATCGAAAAATTTTGAGATAGTCATACCGTGACAATAATGTACATGGTCATTCAACACGAAGTAAAGGAGAAAACTACTGTAAAGCCTGATATACACTGTCGGTCGTATCTCGATCTTCATCGAAAACAAGAAACCAATAAGAATGTTATGTGGAACGGGCCTAATAGCATTTCGTCCTTAAATGTCATTTGCAGGAAAGTTCCTATAATGGTGTTTCATTCTAAATCACCTAGCAGTAGAACAAAGTGCTCAAGGGATTACTCATATGTAAAAATTGCAGTCGTACGAAACTGTTTAGTTAAATACTATGTTATTAAATACACAGTCAACCACTGTGATTACAAATTAATAAATTAAAATTCGTACTGCAATGTATTGGAAGTGTAAGTGTATATAGGTGTTTTAATTGATCAGGTTAATTAATTTAACTTCATTAATCTGCATATGTATAATTTCACCGAATATGGAAGTATTTAAGATCGTTTAATGTAATTATTTAATAAAACAATGTAGAAACTTAAAAAATCCATTAACGTATTAACGTTAATACGAGCTTGCAATTTGATTTTTAAATAATAAATTATAAACAAAAATAGAAAATAATATAACTGTTATAGCATAAAGAATCATGCAATTGAACTGTAGTCAAAAAATTATTAAAAGTAAACATTATCATTTTGATAGACAGATCAAAATCAATACACAATTATCATTACAGTTGCTCCAAATGTCATTGTCATTTTTAACAATTTACATGATGATGTACTATAAAATCTTGATATTTATAATTTTTTGCAGTTACGCTAAAAAATTGTTTTAAATACAGAAAATATCATGAAACTGGTGATACATTTCAATAGAAGATGATCTACCCATAAAAAAGTAAGTACAGAATATAGAATAATGTAATTTACTGTTATGCTACAACAATTTGCATAAAAGTGTTATACAAGGGAACTAATATTGTATAACTATTAATATTTATAAAAACAGATAAAAGTAATCATTAGACTGTAGAATTTATATTAATTTGATTAAAAGAGATGTGCTTTATTAGTACAACTCTATTCGAATTCATATGTGGATGAAATTTTCATCATTGTTAATTCATTTTACTTTTGTTATAACTTGTAAAATAAACATATTTATGACCAAAGTATAAGTATTTAAGTGTACTCGACAAATTTTATTTAACGTTCGTAACTTACTTTCCAAGTAGAACTTCTTTCCAGATTATATTAAGTTTTCATTGATCGTATGTATTAAGTATTTCTAAAGTATACGTTACAACTGCTGCTGCGTAATTCTACACCTATAATTTGATGTAAAAAAGATCTAAGGAAATGACTGCAAAATTCATTCCGACTTGGAAGACAAGGGTTAAAATTTATTATTATTGTATCGTATTTTACTCGTGACGGAGGTAAATAGTTTGAAAGGAAACATGGGTGGGAAATAAATAGTTAGATTGCGAATTATTATTGAAATTCGCATGGAAGAGTAAGGATTTGCGATATCTGTAGCCTTTTCTATTACACAATGGGTCAATCGACATCATAGGACTTCCACCTCTGCCAAATTTCGTTACATTTTGACCTTTTTCACCGTAATGAAACGCAGTCGTTATCCTAACTAACCAATATTCTGGTACCAGAAAAGTACACTGGATTTCTTCACTCTCCTATAGGAATTTTATCAACAATTTGCAAGCAAACTATTCACTCTCGCTATATACCTTCACAATAAGTAGAATACGATATAGCAATATAAAATTTTAATCCTTTCTTCAAGGTCCGAATGAATTTGGCGGTCACTTTCTTACATCCTTTTACATCAAATCAAAGGTGTAGAATGACACTGGTGCTCGTAACATATAATTTAAAATGCTCTGTACATGCGTAAAGAGCAAAATTGAACACACATGTGGTATTTTAACGTAAATAATATTTTACTTAATGTTTACATATAGAATAATGAAAATGCAAAATATATAATAATATCATGTAGGATGTTTTGAGTCTCTAACAAAATTTTACTCTCCGTGTCATCATCATTCTTTTGGTAAATACAAATTATTTTCGTAGAATCAGTTTTGTACCGCATCTGAGTTCTTGAACTCAACAATTGTAAACACGAACCTTCTCTACAACTAATGTTGATATTCATGACCTTGTACTAGTATCTAGTTAGTTTCTCGTAGCTTATACAAAAACATACATCACAGTCTTTTAATATATCGCAATGAAACCGTTATCACTATATAAAAGATGGTATCATTTCTCCTCAACTTACAAGTGGCTTATCAATGCGACAAGTTGCTACGAAATTTGGTACTAGTCAGTCAGTGGTGCAAAAAATTCGGAAATGGTATTGCAGTGATGTTCCTACATATTTAGAGCTCGTCCGAAATTGTTATCTACCAAGGAGAAGAGAAGAATAGTACAGTAAATCAATTCAGAAACTGTAACAACAGCATCAATAGCTACAAAATTATGAAAAAGCGACACGGGAAACAAATTTAGTAAATGAATGGCTCGAGAAGTAATAAAAGATATAAATTTTACAGCAATCAAAAAGGGAAAAAAGCATGCTCTTTCACAGAAAAATACAATGGTCCATTCATATTTTGTATGAAAACGTAGCAATTGGACTATCGAACAATGGAAAAATATAATTTGGTCGGATGAATTTAAAACAGATCGATTTTCATCAGATGAACGCTCATGGTGTTGAAAAAGAAAGAGCGATCCTCTATTGCCACGGCATGTTAAGTAAATAATTATAATTTGATGACGGTTCAATTATGGTAACGAGCGTGTATAATGTATCAAGATGTGGGCCCAATACATCAAATCGAGGAGATAATGAATCAGTATGTCTCTGAAGACATTGTACAAGAAATCCTGTCGGGAACAACTGAAAACATACCGATAGCAGAGTGTGACATCATATTTCAATACGACAATGATGGTAAAAGTTACCCCTTCTGGTAAAAGTGTTAAAAATTGACTAAGGGGTCAACCATTTCAAACCATGAAATGCTGGGCCTAAGAGTCAGATATGAATCCTATTAAAAATGTTTGGGTACATTTAAAAATACAGCGGTGTGCCCCCATCGATATTGAGTTGTAACAAAGACCGCATGAACAGTAGCATTCTTTTACACCAGAATATTGCGAAAATATTATACGGAACATGCCAAAGCATGTTCAAGGCGTTAACTAAGACGAAAAGTTTGTGGACCACATATTAAACTTATAAAGAACTAGTATTTTTATTCTAAATTAATTGTACTACAAACCGGACTTTACGAAAATAATTTATATCCGTCAAAACAATAATGATAATAGGATTGTAAACATTTTTTTGAGTAGTAGAAAAATCCTACAAACCACTACATATTTTGTTTTTTTAATCTTCTATTTATGTTAGAATTTGATGTGTTCAGTTTTTCTCTTTACTGTTAGTGGGAGAGCTCAAATAGTTTTAATAATTATTTTATAGCAGACAATTTTAACAATCATAAAAATATATAAACGTCAAATATTTTAACTTTTACACATCTTATGTATATTTATGTAGAAGTCGTCAATACACTGACGACATTCATCTCATAAAAATGAACATGAACACATTATTCAGACTATGTTTAATAACATGTAGTTTGAGATCGTATAATGAACCCTTTCGATGCTAAATACTTTTGAAGTACTGATTTGAAGTACTGATCATGTATAATATGATTCTGCTTATGATGCACTTCAGCGTTCAATATTTCTATAGAACAATTTTAGTTGTTTTATATTACAGACTTACTGCAAATACAGCTATGTAATTGCACTTCTTGCTTAATGAACAGTCGTCAACTATTAAAATTGACTTTACAGAGTCGGTTTCCATGTCAGATAGTGAGATAAATAAATTAAAAACAGTCTTGTAATGGGACATTCAACGATTGATTTCACCACGCCTCTCTCTTTACCTTTCAACGTATTTAAACTTGATCGAGCTAAAGAAGGAGCAATTATTTTTTGGAACTCTACGTTCCCAAGTAGTGGTTACAATATGGTTCCGAATCTGTGACCATTAAACATGCACAACTTTATATAAAATTAATCTTGCAACGGGAAATACACTTATTTGTAGTGTCCGATCTCATGAATACACATCTACAGCACCGAAAGGGTTCTAAATTCTCTATAGAAGTTTACATTTAGACAGGTTTTTGTCAGAAAAATTTCATCAAAACGTTCATTTGCATCAAAATGTAATTAAAAATAAGAATTTCTCTATTTAATTTCATAGTTGTCACATTAATGTTATCGCTTGCTAATGTGTGGCATTCTTCAAGTTTTATGCTAAAAAATAAATCGAAAAGTGGTTTACTTAC